TATATAAACAGCAGTCTACATCATCTTCATCATTTGCTGAGAGATCTACAAAACGTAAGTTCTCCAAAGATCTGAATTAATGTCCTAGTTTGTAAATAACCAGGCTGCTAGAGGTATTACTTGTGCAAGCTGTTCTGCTCATTTGCATTAGCTTGTTCAGCCCAAACTACTATATTTAAGTTTGTGTCCTCCTGTTTTAATCATGTTCTTCGCATCGCGAGTTGTCTCCAAGATGATGCAGGTGGTTTAAACAAATATGCTCGTTTCTAAAAGCAACATATATAGAATGATTTAGGTGTATTAAAATCCTTTCATCCTGGCACTGCCTTATTCACAATATAGCCCCTTTGAGCGTCATGAACATTGGACTTCCGCTCTTCATCTTCCTCTTTGCTCACCTTACACTCGGCCAAGACAACCTTGGAAAGGAGATAGTTGCTAAGCTAAGCGGAGAATGTGGAGATCGCGCTCTCGTAAGTTACAAGATGTCTCAAAGTTAAAGCATGACAAACACTGCTGCTCGCTGTGTTCATTTTCAAATATTAACTTCTTCCAATGGACTGTGTACCCAGTTAATAAACTTTATTCATATACTAGGATGACAGCGATGAAGAACTACAGAATTGGGTAAAGGGTAATGTTTGTGCGGACAAAGATAAGACATACATACATGTGCGCGTGAGGGCTAAGAACGATACATCCCTAGACGCAGAAGGATGGGCCAAAGAAGTCTCTGGCAAGGATATTGACTTCGAGGAGTCGGTAATTAATTTCTCTTTTATTATGCATCCTTCAATTGTATAGCGTATATCTAACATCCCATATTTGTTGTGTTCTTCAGATGTGTTCTGGAAATTTCAAGGTTGCATGCCATGTACAAGAATGTGAGGTTGATGAGCCGACGACTAAAACAAAACTGTGCCTCTGCGCTCTCAAGTAAGTCATGTCACGTTAGGTTAACATGAAAACTGCTGAGAATTCAGATAATTGACATGTGGCACTTGTGTGGACGCATATTGGACTTATCTGTCGAGCATAATAGACGATTCTCATGTAGGGATTATCGTAATTGTTTAACATTAATTAGTGACATTTACGCACAGTTAAATATTTTGGAATTTGATATTTGGCCTGACATTTACTATCCAATACAGGAATTATCCACATGGATTACTCATAGTTGCAG